TATCAGGAATGGCACAGAATCAAGGTGTATAAACAAAATATAAAAGATGAACTCACTAATACTCGAAAGCCCACTTGTATTAATTAACCAGTCTGATTACAAGGAATTTCCCGATCGGTAGGTCGGAAACAATACTTTAATACAAGAAATAAGAGCAATGATGCTATTCTAGAGCCTGAGTATTGAAATGCTAACCCTTACAATGACTTAAAACCTTCTATTTATACTAATGGAGAGCATGGGCTGCCCTATGCTGATTGGCCGTTGTTCCACCGACTTGGTCACCCATGTTTCCACTTGCTGATGTCACAATCTGGCATTAATTGCACCTGGCCCCTTGCCGGTTGGCTGTTGCTCGAACGGGATGTTGGGCTATGCTGAAGATGCTGTCAAATTGGCCCAAGTATAATATATAGTCCGAACTCCGTTCGGTATGTCTTCTTACTGGGCCAACCCTTATTTGGGCCGAATCTCGTTCGACATTAATTCTATCTTGATTATCTTAGCATAGCGTGATGAGCCCGTTGCTTGGGCCGGGTATCTTGGGCCTTCCTGACCCGGGTATTGGGCCTCTGGATCAATATCCCAACAGACAGGATGGGAGAAATTTGGGAGTATGAGAGAAAGAGGAGTAAGGGAGAAAAATGGTGGGAAGTAAACGGAAAAGGAAGGGTAGATAAAGAAACAATTTGACCTTTTCTCTTTCTTTTTCTATTTTTTCCAACAAAGCCAAAATTTTCTCATCCTCAAAAGCCTCATCTAATTTCTTTTTAGCTAACGGGCCAAATAGGTCCCTATAGTAGATCAGAATGCTCCTATATAATGGCGACGGCCGGGCAAAGCCTTATAATGGCGACGGCCGGGCAAAGCCTCCTATATAAGGGGTGATTCACACTTAGTTAGTTCGATGGCCTATTTGACCCTTTAACCTATTTGATATCATGACTCTTTCGCTTACTTAGATAGAATGAATTTAAATATGTTATTTATTCATTTACTCTTAATTTATGTATACATCATGTTTTCCATTGTGAAAGTTATGTATGGAAGATAGTTTTGCATAACCTAAAAACATTCTCACAATTATTCAATCTCAGCAAAAAGCTCTTCTCCAAAAATTTCGCCTCATGAAATGTGATTACCTTGAATGTTGTGAGCTTGTTTATATGAAAAGTTACGTATTATATATTGGTTATTACTGGCTTTTCATGTGATATTTATTTAGCAATTTAGACTTTGTCATGGAAAATATTCAAAATTCAGTTGTTGTTCTCGTGGTGTTGCTTGACCCAAGATACTTATTTGACCAAAGATACTTATTTCTACGTTGATGCAGATGAGATATATAGTTAAATATGGAAAAGTTTTGAAAATTAGGTATATAGTCAATAATATTTCATTATTCTATCTTTAATGAGTGGCATGCATTTCTTGTCTTTTGGATAAACATTTGGTGTGAGGCTGTGAGCTACATGCCTACATCAGTCCTAAATTTTAAGTAACATAGTTTTGTAGTAGAATATTTCTGTTTCGATAAAATTAGATTGTGAGCTACATTTCTTTTTGGGATAAACACTTGATTATATGCTGAGAGGGAAGAACTGAGATGCATAATCACCATGGAAAATTAGCAGCCTTATACAAACTTATGGTTGAATGTATTCATTTTTCATGTATGATGGTGTTTTAAGTGATTCTTGCTTTCAAATTCACATTCCCTCCTTGTGTCACAATTTTTAAATGGTATACAAATGCATGAACTTGAGTAAAGCCATATACTACCTCTGTCCCGCTAAGATTTTCCTAGTTTGACCTACACACGTATTAAGGAAATAAACTTACCAGAGGGTAAAATTTACTGTTTTGACACTATTTAACACTGTGTGACACTGTTTGCACTGTTTGACACTATTTTGATGTAGGATAAATTTCCATTTAGGGAAATGAGAACTTCTTTTTGGGACTGCTAAAAAAAGAAAATAGGAAGATCTTAGTGAAACGGAAGGAGTATATTTCTATTGTTGTCATCACGTAGGCTATGAAATAAATATGAGTATATGTGATTGCTCTCTTGATGGGTCAGGTTTACATTTCTTCCAAACAGTGAGGTACGATATGGAAACAGAAAAAATGATAAACATTGTTTTGAGCTACATTTCTTCTCCTTGTATTCTTTGACGCATGCATTTCATAAAGAGTCAACACTTCTCATGATAGGCATTTATGTTTTCTGATTAAATTGAATAATATGTGTTTGACAGTATGTCTTTGAGAAGCTTTGGTTACATAATTCTTCTTCTATTGCTACTCTGTTTTTCTAACTTTTGAATTGCGTTGTTCTGACTTTGCAAGTATTTAAGATTCTCATGAATTATTCCAGTAGAAGTAAGTTTCAATTGTGTATGGTTTGATCATGTTGCAAACAAATTTTGCTGACTTGATTTTGATATTCATATCATAGTTTTGTAGAATTGATTCTGATATTGATGTTAATGATAATGATTAGGAAGAGGTAGGCTGATTTCCATCAGATTTAGTATTTTTTCCCATAATGTATCTTATTTCAATTTTTTTATTTTCTTGTCATCTAGTTGTATACTTGTACATATATTTTGGTGCATCAATTAATAATAATAATTGATTCCAAACATGAATCACATTGATCGCAAGCACATAATAGAAGTACAAGGAGATTATAATAAGACTTAGAAGATCAATGAGGAAGGATGTGAATAAGCAAAACTAAATACTATGTTGATAAATGTAATAATTTAAATTATTAGATTGAAATTTATATTAATTGTAAAACATTTAAATGTTAATTTTTGTTTTCTTTTGTTGTATCGCAGATGTTGCTTTTTGTTACATCGTGTTGCTTATTATTTCTTTTTGTTGTATCGTACGCGTTGCTTTTTGTTGCATCATGTTGTTTTTTGTTATGTCTTGTTATTTTTCGTAGCATCAAGTTGCTTATTGTTATTTATTATTGATTTTGACTTATGTGATTATGTTAATTAATAAATTTTTAACTACTTTAGCAACATTACATGAAAAAAAATCAATTCCTCGTTTTTTTTTTCAGTTTTCAATTTTTTTCACTGTTGTTCACATTTTTTAATTTTCGAGTTTTTAATAATTTAGACTACGTTTTTTTATCGAAGAATCTTTGAAGTTTTCATTTTTTTTTGAAAGTTCCTTTTTTTACTCGGAATGCAAACCACAAAAATTAGCGGGGTAAATGCCGAGGGACATTTATCAGGTTTTATTAAATCTCAAAAGAATACGGAATTCGGGGTGACCAAACCTTACCCGAGAAATAAAACAAATATCACATTCTAATGGAAGGGGTTTCAAAAAGAGAAAAATGTCAAATCAGGGCATTAAGTTGCAACATGCAACATAAAGAGTACCTGATATTACAACTGAAACCAGGAAGTACACCAAATAGGTTTTTCGGTGTTAAATTAGTACAATCCTGTGCATGACGTTAAAAGATGCTGATGTGGCTATTAGATCCGTTTGTTTTTAAACATTAGAGTCCGACTCAGCAATTAATCAACCCCCTAATATTTATAACCCTAACTTCGTCCTCATGTCTGCGTATTGCAGTTCATCCCCAGACTTCATCTATCTCTTATTTTCTTCTTTGTCCAGTACTTCGAAGGGTGATTCATTTTATTTTTATTTTTGTTATTCCGAACGCTAGATTGTTGTTTGCTGTTTATCTTATGAGCTGAATTTACATTCCATTTCCTCTGTTAATTTTTGGGTTTGTTTATTCAGAATTTTGGGTTGAGAGCTACAGACATGGCTCATGGAATTTGTGCATGTGGAACCCCTTTAAAGATACTGACTTCATGAACATATGACAATCCAGGGAGACAATTCCTTACCTGCTCAACATTAAAGGTATGACCTTGAAGCTTGGTTTACCCTATTTAAATTTATTTATGTTAATCAGACTGATTTTACATTTTCACTAGTTTGAATGAATACAGGTACACATATATATTGCATTTGAGCCATATGTACAGAACTTGATGTAATATGTCATATGTTGTAATTTTTTGTAATAATATTCTTCTTTATGTGTTTGTTAATGATAGGGTAATGATGGATGTAAAATGTTTGAATGGATTGATCCAGAAACGTGTCCAAGGTCCAAGATGATTATACCAGGTATGCTGAGGAAAATCAATAAGCTGCAAGTTGAACTTGAAGGAAAAAATGCAATGCCCAAAAACAAGAAGAAATGGACTGTCCTATGGTGTGTTGTGGGAGGAATGATGGTACTAGGTTCATGGATTGTTTGTTTTGACATTGGAAGCAAAACTAAGTTGGGTTGAGACTATTGTGAGGCTCCAATGGTCTAAATCTGTATTGTAAAGTAGGAAATATCATACTGTGTGTGGTTTATTGTTGTAATGGTATTATTAGTGTGTTTAGTTGAATTCATGTTGTTGTTATGCTATCCTACCGGTTGATGTTTAGTTTGGTGTATGATGTTGTATTAATGACAATCATTTCATATTTGATGATGAATAAACTGGCCACAAAATAAGTTTGATATTGATGTATGTTTCTTATATATTAATGCACCACATATATTTGACAATGATGTATGTTCTTAAAGCATATTGACATTACTTGGTTAAATTCAGAAAAGTTCAGGACAAACTGAAACATCAAAGATGATGGTTTATTACAACCACTTATAGGACACAATGAATGACATGTACAAAAAAGATTAAGACTTGGTTATTTAGAATAAGGGTATAATCAGACAAATGGAGACATGTAGTTGTTTAACTTAAGTAATACTCTTCTGAAGTAATAAGTGCATATTTATAATAAGGTTATAATCAGACTTATAATAAGGTTATAGGTGCAGATTACTATACTAATCTGCAATTTCAGACAGATGGACTTGCTTAACTGAACTCATACGTTATACTTGAAAGTAATTAAATAGATAACATGTAAAGATTTATCATAAATCCATAACCAAAGCAGCCTTATACAAGCTCAGAGTATATCCTTCACAAAACACTTGTAAAACATAATCCTTGTACATATAACAAGATCACAATATATCCTAAATCGAAAACATCAACACCCCTGTACACCATCACAATTTTCCATGACAAAAAGCCTTGTACAACAGCATCATAAATTCATAACCAAAACAAGCTTGATAATTACAATTGCAGAACATCGGAACAGTCCACTAGGTTACTACAATGATAAACTAAACTACTCTTCATTAGGAGGTTCCATAGAGTCATATAGTTCATGGAATCTCTGCCTCGCAGTTGAAGCATCTCCAGTCACTTCAATTTGCTCATTGGATCTTTTCCTGGATTTTCTTGCATTGGCTTGAACCTCCTTTCCTTTCCTAGCCCTTAGTCTCTATACCAACACAAAGGTAGCATGTTAGGATCCATTAGACATTGAATAAAGAGTTCATTCATAGGTTTTACCTCCAAACCAGCTGCAGCAATGGAGTTGTTTCCCCTACTTTGAAATACACCTTCACTATTTCTCTCCACTTGTTGATTCTCAATGAAATATGACTTCAATCTACTCTCAAACAGTTATTGGCTCCATAGGATCAATAGGAGTGCCAGATTCAATGTTGGTTACCTACAAGTTATATATATATATATATATATATATATATATATATACAAATCAAACAGTTAATATAAAACAATAATTAATTAAAACAGTAAATGTTAATACTTAAATTATATACCTGATTAGAGTTGGTCTTCAAAGGGCACTTATTTTGTGTGTGTCCTTCTTGGGAGCAGTGTCCACATGATCTGTTTGTTTGAGTTGAAGTACTACCTTCTAAATCAACTGGAAATGTTGTTGTCCCATTTAAAATTACCTCTTTTGATGGACAACCCTTTTTGTTATGGCCTTTTGCAAAACATAGCTGACATGTGATACTTGTGCCTCTCTTGGGTAACTTACCAGTCCTAGGGTACTCACCTATCTCTTTAATTCTGTTTTTTCTTGACCGGCCTAGTTCTTTAGTTTTCAATTCTGCTGACAACATTGTGAAGTTTGTTTTAGGCCAAAATAGAGGACCGACTATGGGTGTCATCATGTGAGCATATGTATGGCGATACATATCTTTCTTATACCACTGGGAAACATAATCCTCAATTGGATGACCTTTGTTCCTAATTGCACAAATTGCATGTTTGCAAGGTATCCCAGATACATCCCACTGCTCACACAAACAACTCCTACCCTCCAAGTCAACGAGATAGGTATCAGATCCACATGAAACTTCATAGCCATCAGAACCATTAAAGAGTACCGTCCAATAATTGCTTGCTCAAACTATTTTGTTGATCCTTCTCCTAATTCTAGGACCTAGTTGACCAATCCATTTGTCCCTTGAATTCCTATTCTTGATAAGCCTTTGCATGACCAACTTTCTAATAAATTCCAATTGAGAAAACCCTAACTGAGACCTAGCAGGCACTATCACTCCATTAAAAGCTTCACACAAGTTATTGTCCACAGTTTCACATTTGATAGACCTATTAAAGAAAGCCCTACACCAAAACTCTGGATCTATTTTCAAAATCTCTTCATATCCATTGGGAGATAGAGATCTCAGTACCTCTAGATTCATCTCAAACTCTCTCTTTGATGTAGATTTACAACACTTCCAAAATTGCCTTTGTAACTCAATCCCAGGATGTGATCTTCTCCAGAAAGCATATATGTGTCTAGCACATCTTCTATGTTCAACATTGGGTAATGTATCATATAATGCTGGCATCAATCCCTGCAAATAAATTTAATTAGAAAACTTTAGTATATCACTTTAGTATTACAGATATAGCAAAGTTTAGTACTAAAGAAAGGTATGTATATAAAAGATAAGGTATATGTGCTGGCATCAGTTAAGTAGTTGAGTTTAATTATCAGTTATAATGAGTTATATCAAGTTAAGAAGTAATAATACTATTACATTATATGAGTATAATACTATAAATCAGTTCTTAAATCAGTTAAGTATCATACCAAGTTAAGAAGTAATAATACTATACTTAAAGCATTATATGAGTTATATATACCAAGTTAAAGAACTAATAACACTATTACATTATATGAGTTTAGTATACCAACTTAAGTACTAAAGATAGGTATATATGCTGGCAACGGTGAAGTATTTGAGTTCATATATACCACTTAAGAACTAAAAATCAGTTCTTAAAGCATTAGCTAGTATAATATCAGTTATATTATACCAAGTTAAGAACTGATTATACTATTAACTGATATATTAAATCAATTCAGTATATCAGTAGTATAGTAAATATATAAGTTTATATATACAAACCTTTTGTTGATCGGATACAAATGTCCAGCCTTCTCCTGTCCCAGTATTTAAATCATCTATGAGGTTCTCCAAAAACCATTTTCATGTAGCTTTAGTCTCAGAACCCACAACTGCCCAAGTAATAGGAAACATCTGATTGTTTGCATCCCGTGCGACTGCTGTGAGGATTTCACCCTGTACTTCAGACTTTAGAAATGCTGCATCAATTTCAATTAGCCTCCTACACCCCCCTAAGAACCCCTTCTTGCAAGCCTCAAAGCAGACATAAAACCTTTCAAAAATTGGATTGGGCTGCATGACCTGAAGTATGCAGGTATTCCCTGAATTGGACCTCATTATTTCAGCCTTATAATCCTCTAAGTTGATGTACTCTTCCTTAATGTCCCCCTTTTCCATCTTTCCGAGAATAGACTTGGCCTTCTTCATTTTCTCAAGAGACACCTCACAGTTTAGTTCTTTCTTTACCATCTCTTTCATTGATGCTACTTTCATCTCAGAAACTCCAGGTTTTGTTTTGAAATTTTTTTTGAGTAACCATTTTGCTGTTAGACTATGTATTTGCCACCCTGGATTGCAGCTGTGCTCAGTATTCAAAGTCTTTACAACCCATTTCTTACTACTACTTCTATTATCTATCCCAATGTAAACCATCCATGTGCATGTTTTATTTAAATTTGAACACTTGGCCCTAAGCATGGTAGCACAGTTTTTAGCCCAGTAGTAAGGATACCTGTTAGTCACAGAATATTTATCTATTGCATCCTTCACTTGAGATTTGCATTCAAAGCTCATTCCCAATGAGAACACAACTTTGTCATCTGTTTTGAAACTTGGAAACTTGATTTTCCTTCTAACAGCCTCTTCTTCTTCTTCTTCTTCTTCTTCTTCTTCTTCTTCAGACTTGTAACTGCCTTCATCAGTTGAGGTGAAATACTCACTTTCATTCCCATCATCCTCCACAGCTAAGTCTTCTTCATGTATGTTGTTGTTGTCAGTATATTTGTGCCCTTTACTTTTACCAATACCCTTTTGATTAGTCACCAACTTCCTTCGCAGTACACGGACATGTTGTAATTCCTCATCGTCTTCATTTTCAGAGTTGAATTCATCTTCAAACAATAGCCCAGCTTCTGCCTCAAGAAGTGGATCTTCAAATCCCAAATCAACAATGAAGGGCACACTGCCACCACTCTCACTCTCTACTTCAGCAGTAGGATTATCTTGTCCTTGACTATTTCAAAACAATATGTGTGCCCAATTAACCAATATTCAGAAAATATTTAAATGCTAATAGAATTTAGTAATTGTTGGAGATTTGAGTTTTTAACACATTGTAACCCAACATAAAATATCCATTTAGTTTTCAACTGTAATTTTTAGGGTTATGCAATATACTACCAAACACTCAAAACATAAATTGGATAGTTTATAGGAAAACCTATAAATGGGGTTCAAACCTCCAAAAACAGGGTTCGAAACAAAAATTAAGTTTTTACTAACTTCAACCATTACTTCTTCCTCAATGGATATGAGTAAAGAGAAAAGGTGAAACCGTACAGACAGAGTAATGTATAGCAGAGTACCTTTCATCACTTTTTTCAGTCTCCCTCTTTAGATTACCACTTCAACACCTCAGTTACTTTTCCTCTTTAGGGTTGGAACTTCATCGTGTTTTGTCTTTTGAGTCTTCGTACGAATAGGTTAGGGTTAGGTTACGGTTTCAAACTTCATCAACGTGTTCAGACCGGTTCAGACCGGACAAGGTTAGGCCGAAAATTTCAATCCAAGTAAAAACATCAATATATTTTGTACTACATATTACTCCCTCCGTCCCCTTTTAAATGTCCCGGAAGAGGGTGGCACGAGTTTTAAGAAATGTAGGTTAGTGTGGTTGTTATTAATAGATAAAGTAAAAATAAAGTAAGAATAAAGTAAGAATGATTTTGAGCCACACAAACTTTACCAAATAAGGTATGAGACAATTAAATAGGGACATCTCAATATGGTAAAATGGGACATTTAAAAGGGGACGGAGTGAGTATATAATATCCCCTCCCTAACACACACACACTCAAAACTTTATCATCTTTGAACTTAATGGTCAACCAAGTTCATGACCAATTATATATTAATTTTTTTTCCTAAATAGGACTAAAACATGGTTAAAACTCCAAAGTAGGACTACAAGTTTTATATTTCACAAATAGGACTCCAGATTACCTTATTACCCTTCTTCTAAAAATAATCAATCCACTCTCCATCAACCGCCAGACTTCTCCCCTGCGACTTTCCCTTTGGCCGATCGCAGATTCGATCTCCATCGTCAACGGCTTTATCCGCAATCATCGTAGTCATCTGCTCTCTGCTCTCCCAGGTACTCTTCTTCCTTTTCTTCCTCCTCTTCTTCTAATTCTTCTTCATCTTCTTCTTGTAGCCGTGTTCCTGATTCTCTGCTTTCTTTTTTTAAAAAAAATTATCAATCAAATTTGAAAAAATATTGCATGAATGTGAAAGTTTCCAATGAAGATATACTTAACTAGAATTTCTTCTTATCAATTTTGATATATTTCAATCTCAAAATGCCCTGAGTAATGATTCTGAAGAATGTATCACTTTTTAATCAAGAATGTCATATTTATTGGTTATTTTTTTAAAAATGACACTTTTATGTCATTCAAGTCTGTGCAGCCTCCGATGAGAATGTCACTTGATATGAATAAATGACAAGATAATGACATTATCTTATGAACATATGTCATTTTCAGATTGTCATCCTGATAAATGTATTGCTACAAACATGACAGTTTTTTCAAATACTAGTAATACTTTTGACATTCCCAGATTATAGAAGTGATTTTTTGCTTATGAAATAAAATTCAAATCCAAAAAATCCAAATTAGTAAATAAAATTCAAATCCAAAGAAGAAAAAGAAGAAGAGAATATGGGAGCAGAAAATTGAAGAGGATTAGAAGAAGAAGAAAATTGAAGAGGATTAGAAGAAGAAGAAGAAGAAGAAGAAGAAGAAGAAGAAGAAGAAGAAGAAGAAGAAGAAGAAGAAGAAGAAGAAGAAGAAGAAGAAGAAGAAGAAGAAGAAGAAGAAGAAGAAGAAGAAGAAGAAGAAGAAGAAGAAGAAGAAGAAGAAGAAGAAGAAGAAGAAGAAGAGAAGAAGAAGAAGAAGAAGAAGAAGAAGAAGAAGAAGAAGAAGAAGAAGAAGAAGAAGAAGAAGAAGAAGAAGAAGAAGAAGAAGAAGAAGAAGAAGAAGAGGACTTACCTGGTTGCCTATGCGATGGGAGGCCAGAGTCGATGACGAGCTCAGATCCATGAGAGGAAGAGATGTTTGCCCTAATGATACTAATATTATCCTATGATACTAATGATACCAGCAATTTATTATTATCCTATGTAGGTCCCTATCAACCAGGAACTTTAGTCCTTTTTTGATAAGGATAAGACTTGACAGAGTTAACATATCAATGTATTTTGAATGATTTATTAATTTATATCTATAAATCATCCATTATAAAAATATCTCCTAGTTATATATAGGAGTGACTTGAACGGGGTCAATATGTCTGCCCATTTTCCATTAAACATGCTTCCGTCTCCTCTGTTCCTCATGTCTGGTTCCCATCTTTTTTCTTTTCCCATTTATAAAATCAAAATCAATTCGACACCCATCCTTTGCCTTAGTATTCTCTCGTCAGCCAGCCGGACCATAGTCACATGGTTCGTGGAACGCTTCGGAACGGGAATGGGAACGAGGAACCTTATGTTTTGGTACTATAATAAAACCGAATTAAAGATTTCATAAAATTAAATAAACATAGATTTCATAACATGATTTCATAGCATTAAACAAAATAAATAACATTAAAATTGTGCCACTTAGAAACTCTTGACTTAACTGAAAACACAGAAACATTAATTAAAAGTTTAAAACAGAAAAAGGAATTTCACTCCATTAAATAGGCAACACTCGGAAGAGTAAGTGGCGTAGGAATACGAAGAGTGTGGTACTCTGGTGACCTGGTTTTACCCTGTTGATGACCTAGAGCAGAAAACGAAGAGGTTCATTTGAGTCTTCTGGAACATTTAAAATCAAACGCTTGGGGTCTTCATATGTGTATGCAGAAAGGAAACGGTGATTGTTGATAGCGTTTGCGAACTACCTTGAGACTAGTTGCGAACGACAAGGAGAACGGTTGCGAATGAATTCTTATGCGATTGGGAACGACCTGGGAACCTATCTGACGGTGATCCCTGTAGCGTTTGGAACGCTTTCGTACCGCGATTGGGTACGGATCGTTCAGAACGCAGATCGCGGGGTCTTCAGCGATTTATGTAACTATGAGCCGGACGCTCGAAGCATGAACTCTTTATGGTTCTCCTGTCATGTCCCTTGGGTGTTGTTTTGGTTTTTATGCAAACCACGAGGTTTGCTTCATACGAAGGAATGTATACTAAGCTTATTAACTGAACCAGACTCATTCTCTCTCCCTTCTTGGCATTCAAGCCCCTTTACCCATTCAGGTGCCATTTGATTTCGTTTTGGAGGTTTTAATAAGTGCAATTAATGGTTGCAACCCTCTGTTGTGTTTTTTATTCCGCTTTGGTTCCTGTTGTTGTCCCTTTGTTCCCTTGATTTATTTTTACCTATTCTAATTCTAATATAAAAGCAAAAGAAATTTGATGAATAGGGTTCCCGCCTAGAAGTGTCAACATCAAGTTTTAGTCCCATTTTTTATAAAAAATAATTGTATAATGAATATGTTTGTTAAATCGGGGCACGAGGGTTTGTGAATAGACAAATCCTTTTGGTTGAAATGGGTGGCCGCAGCACAGTGTATGAGATTGAGTGTATCTCATTCTTCCTAACAATAAGTATGGCAACGTTCAACTATAAAAGCAACCTTCCGGCATGAAGCACTCCACCCATGCACTTTCTGAATTGCTGAAATTTAATTTGCTTTTGATTAGTCACTTCCTCTGCAGTGAAAATTCATCAAATCTATTATTTTACTCTATCAGTTTGCAATTATACGTAGTATTTGTGAATGAAAATCTGACTATAGAAATAGGTTAGGACAGTTCACGCACACTTGATTGTTGAACACCACTCCAACATTATGCTATTAACATTCTATCAACTATTTGAGTCATGACGATTATATTGACTCGCAGAAGTAATATTTATGAGGAGGTTGTAAGTTCTATTACGACAATTTTTTTCATGACTGTTGGTTCTACCAATTCTAGAGCTATTAAATTTTCTATAGCTTTTATTCATGTTTATTACTCCCTCCGTCCCTAATCTTTCTCCCTTTTCAGCTGGGCACATTTATTAAGATATTGAGATTTGTGTGGTGGAGAGTTGTGCAGAGGAGAGAGAAATGTGTAAGAATGTGTAAGAATGGTTGTGAACCACAAATTTTTTGCTAAAAGGGGGAAGAGGAGATAATTTTGGGACGGACGAAAAAGTAAAGTTTGAAGATAATTTAGGGACGGAGGGAGTACATATAATAATGTCATAGGTGTTTGTTTTGATCCTAATTACAGTAAATTTTGCAGGAATCACGGGTCCACATGCAGATAGAAACTTCATGGTCAAGGAAAATTATACCAGTGTGTTTTTTAGACTATCACAAACGCAAAAATATTGTTCTTTCACGAAGGTGAAGTCTTTGAAATATGTAGCATGGTCGAGGAACATACTGGGTATGTTTGGCAAATGGCTTATCAACCAGCTTTTAGCTTGTTTGACCCATTTCAACTGTTTGATTAGTCAAAGAAGCTAATAATAATGTTTAGTAAATGGCTTTTAAAATTAGCTTGTTGAGTTTGAAAAGCTGAAAAAATGGATTGTGGAAGAAGCTAAGGGGAGCAGCTTCTTCATTTGGCTGGTTCAATTTACACTCTATCAGCCATTTCGAAAGAGCCAATTTTACCAAACAGTTATTTATAATCAGCCAACATAACCAGTCGGTCAAAACAGCTAACACAACCAGCTGTTGCGAAACAGCTGACACAACCAGCTACCAGCAACAGCTAACAACCATTTACCAAACAAGGCCACTGTAATATTGTTAGCAGGTGATGTTCATGAAATGCACTTAATGTGTATTTAGTGTTGGACTCGGGGCGGGCCACCCGGCCCGTGGACCAGCCCGACCCGCTACTGTGTGGGACCGGGACCGGCCCAGTTCTTGGGTCCGAGTCGGGCCTAGGCTCAGGGGGTAGGGCGGGTCCGGGCTCGGGTCTCACATTTGGCGAACCAGCCCAGCCGGGTCGAGCGCGGGCCCGGGCCAAATTGATTTTTTTTTTCATTTTTGGGGTTCCACCCGGGTTGGGCTTGATGGTTAGGATGGGTTTGGGGGGGTTTGGGAGGGTGAGGGTGAGGGGGGGGGGGGGGGGGTAGGAAAGCAAAAAAAAACCCAAACTGGAGGCCCGGTCCGGACCAGACCGGACCTGGTGGCTACCCGGTCCGGTCCCGGGTCCACCATTCTTGAACCACCGGCCCGCCCGGGCCTAGGCCCGACCCAGATCCGAGTCCACCCCTAGGTGTATTTATAATTTTGTTGCTTTTGTTATTTTTCATACTGGATTATTATATCATGTCACTTAATTGGTTGATGTCATTATGTGTTGTAAACTCTACTACTCCCTCCGTCCCCCAATTAAGTTCCCGGTTTGACTTCACACGTATTAAGAAAATAAATTTGACTTTACTGTGGAGTGCACTGTTTTGCACTATTCAAACACTGTTTGACACTGTTTGGCACTGTTTTACACTGTTTGGCACTGTTTTACACTGTTTGACACTGTTTTGATGTAGATAATTTGCCAAATAAGGAAAGTAAGGAAGTGTGAACTTAATTTAGAGACTGCCCAAAAAGGAAAGTGGTAACTTAATTGGGGGACGGAGGGAGTACACGTGTACATGCTTTGTGTTGATAACTATAGTTGGTGTAGACAAATGTAAAAACTTTAATTAAAATGTGCTAAATAAAACAATGTGTGTATCCTTATGTGGTTAGAGATTTAACGCATGTTTGTATGTAACTATATATCCTTAAGGATGTATCCTTGTGTGTATCCTTATATGTTGTGAGAACATATAAGAAACAATTGCCCTAAATAGGATCAAAACATAGACAAAAAGCCAAACTAGGACTTACCATGTTTTTTCCCATTATAGGAGTCATCCGCTCCTATTTTGAGTTGTCGTCGTTTCTGTAATGTCGATAAAGCCCTTGGCTCTCTCCTTCTCGTAACCTTTATCCCTGCATCTGCATCTGCATCTTCTTCTTCTTCGGCAATTCCCAAGTAATTCATCTCCTCACTTCATCTGTGTTTCTTTTTTTCCCCAGAAATTTCACGCTCATCTTCTCCCATTTCTGATTTAATTGGAAACATATCTGCCACTCCTTCATCTTTTCTCTTCCTCTTTGATCTGATCGGAACATTCATCTTTCAAATTTTAATAATGGCGCGCCAACACTAATTTCAGAATTTCAGGTGTTCTTCATATTGCTCTTCCTACTTCTATAGTTTCTTCTTCTACTACTACATGCTCTGCTTCCAGTGTTTTTGTTTTTAAAAAATGTCATTTTGGTTCTAAAAAACATGATAGTCGCTCCTCCTTCTTCACCTCTTTAAGAATGACATGAAATGTCATGAAGATGGCATTTACAAACGTAAAAACTGACATTCACTCCTCCTTCACCCACTACAAGAAATCTGGGGTTTTACCCATACATGTAAATGTAGGTAAAAGTATAGTTATGTGTAGGAAATAACATTTACCCACACATATACTAAGTGTACACATGTGTGGGTATACGACTGTAGGTAAAAGTTATTACCCACACATGCAATTATGTGTGGATAATATTTTTTTCTTTACACACACATTCATGTGTGTGAAAATATTTATACTATGTGTGGCTATTTATTTTTAAAAAATCAGCACAGTGACATGGATTATGACATGGCAGATGACATGTCACATGATGTGGCAGACGGTGTGGAAGGTGATATGGCAGGTTTACAATGACATGTAATTCTGCCACGTGGAATTATTCATGTGTGGCTAAAAACTATTTGGTATGTGTAGGTAAATACTCTATGTATAGGTAACATTTATTTTGTGTAGGTAACTATTATAAATCATATACTACGTATACATTAAAATTAAAATTGGAAACCAACTACATTAATATCAAATACACCACATTAATATCAAATGCATCCATAATTTTGAAATGCATAATAAAAACCCATTCAATATCTATTTTCAAATCCCACAATGCCAAAAGTGACAATAAAAACTTTAATGTTAAAATGCTATCCTTCAACTAGTCCTATAATACAAAATGTACATTTCGTCATATGCAAAAGCAATTCCTATTCATCAAATTAAGAAGTGGAGTCTTCATATCCGTGGAATTTTTTACCTCACTCAATAGAAGCAAAGCCGCAAATGAGAGCTCCAGGACAATACAATGATCAGATGGAATTGTTAAAACTTCTCATCTCCTATTTGTTGCTTCTCTCGATCTCAATTTGAGAAATGTCCTAATAACGCAGTGCAGCTTCAAAAACTTTCTTTTCAAATCTATTACGGAGTATCTAGCATAACAGACCTGGAAGAATGAGAAGTTATTTATTACGTTTCAATATACTAACGAAAATAACCAAATGAATAAGAAATTGTTTAACTGGATAATGACCTTGTACTGCTAATTTAACACTTCATTTTTACTGTTTCTAAAAGCTTCTGTATTTACAGCATCAACATCCTGTCAAACAAGGAAATGTCAGCATTAGTACACTTAAAATCAATAAAATGTATGAACAGAGATATCAACAATTGTAACAAGAGAACAAACTGGCAGGCAGGACAATGCATTAATAATGTTTTACTCTAAACAGTTCAAGAGCAAATCAGAAATTGTATGTCTATTTTTAAATCAAATTAACACACAATCAGAACAAAAATAATCTCAATTTAACCGTAAAATCAGAAATACAGATTAAATTTGTAATTTATATATTAAATTAACTAAAAAATAAGACCACAGAAATAAATTTAAATCTACCTAATCCAGAGCCGTCAAATAAATTTAGAGACCTTGTTCTAAATTCCAAAATGAGGCTCCATATATGAATAAAAATAAGATCACAATAATAAAAACTCACAAAGTTTAAACATATAAGTATATGTTATAAGTTTGAAAAATACCATCTGGATATAATCAATGCCAAAGATTATATCATATCAACGGACAAATGGACAATGATTAAGCTTTAAACAATTGTTGAAATATAATGAAATCTTTATCAACTATCATCCAACCTGAAATTAACAGATAACAATAATAAAGGTTAAAATTTTTGATTTCTGAAATTAACAAATAAGTGAAATAACAAATTAACATTTAACTATAGCAAAATTACAAAAGCGAAAACTAAAAAGAATTAAAGGTTAAAAGTGAAAATCTGAACTTGCTGAACAAGTGAACTGTGAACAAGGAAACATGCTATAAAGCGACTGAAACCAAAGCCCAGGTGAGAGGAGAACCAAGAAAGCCCAAAGGGGCCAGAGAGGTAGAGTCGGGACTGAGAGCCGCTGCCCACAACAGCATGCTCTCACAATGCAAGAATTGCAATGGCATTTCAAGAGGAGACGGGCCTACTCAGTGAGGTCAAGAATAAATAACGGATAATCTAAAGTATATCCATATTTAACGTTTATGAGCTCACAAAAGAAAAGGTTGAAGACCAAATTAACAAACTGTCCAGAGTGCACCATTAGTATATTCAGGTCCATAAAGAACTATCAACACAAGATGCTTTAGTAAAAAAGTAACAGGGAAATCCTATCTAGACGAGAAAAAGATTCATTAATCATTAATACTATAATATCAAACAAAAACTATCAAAAATACATCAGACGCCACATCACTTTCAAATATGATTTAGTATCAAAGAATCACCTTTGGTATATGTGTGCGTAGACTTCTGTGTACATCACGACACTTTAAGCATATAAAAACTCCTATATTGGATGATCTGGAAGTAAAGGAAGCACCCTAAGCATTTCGACATCCAAGCAAACACAAAGCAACACAAAAACATGTTAGAAAGTTTTCTAAAATGCTACAATCCAGCATTGTTTTGAACACATTACATTTAAAATTCCGCTTATTAATATCATTGCATATGCAGATAAAATTCATAAAACATTATATAAAGATCTGCTAGCCTCTAGTGTCAGCCAACTTATTAATATTATTGAGACAAAACATGATATAAAGGTCGGCTAAAAAGCCACCACAACCATCTCCCGTATATGACATGTAAAGAAATTTCAAGTTTCCTTGAGATACCTTCATGACCTCTGTCATGTGTACTACCCCACTCCCTATTTTCCTAAACCAAAAGACCCACTTTAGTATGCCAGTTTCATATTTAGATTCATCTTTCTTTCAAATGTTACTGATTCATTGTCTACTACAAACCACATTCCTATTAAACTTCTTCATCCAGCCAACTTCTGATCTAACTTAAATGATTAATATGCTTATATGCCTGCTGCATTCTATTCTTTTCCTTTTTTTTTCATTTTTTCTTTTGTTTCTTATTGTATTTTTATTTACTTTCCTGTTGTTATCATATTATATGCTTAACGTCTCCTTTTAGTATTGTGTTCTTTTTAGATAATTAAGTCTATGGGAAAGAGAATTTTTAGAAGTTTGTTATCTTTTGAATGGAGTTCTCCTCCTACTACTACTATAACAATACGGAGTACTACGTAATAGTAATAATAGTCACTGACAAAGCCATGGGCTTTAAATTATACATACATGTATACACTCTCATTACAGGGGATTCGGGGAATAGGGTCACACCGGGCTCACCCCCTTTAGTTCAGACACTGCCTATTTCACAATAGGCTAAAGATTTAGCATTCAATCAACACGAAGGTCGCAGGATGAAAAGTTGGGCTCAAATTAAATACAACATGATTATCAAGTTGAAAGTTAAGAGTCGAAAAATTAACAGAGCATAAACCATGGAATTAAAATTAAAAAGATGCATCAGTTAGGCCTTATTATATCAGAAAGCTTTGTCAAGTAATCGAGTATATAGAGAAAATGTTAGCAAAAATGGATACCTTTCTCTTTAGTTTCGTAGCGAAGAAGAGAGATTGCAGGAGCCTACTTCTATGCATCGCCGATTAGAAAACAAAATCTTTTTTCCTTCAGCCGATTGTCGCTGGTTGTAGAACAAAGAAGGAGCGGGAAGCTTTTTCCCTTCAGCCGATCATCGCCGTTGTAGAATAAAGAAGAAAAAGCCTGGTCAAGCCGTAAGAAAGAAACCAGTAAAGAGGTAAGGGGTAGGGTTAGGAGTTAGGCATGAATCGAGATAACTAAATATGACGTGCAGAGGTGGGTATTATTTCTTTTCCCTTTTTTATACTCCGTAATTCAATTGATAAACTACTCTATGTTATTGCCACACTTAATTAAACCTAGATATGTTATTTATTATGTGTGTCTAATGACAAATTTATTACTTTCACATCATAAAAGTTTCTATGTGTAGGTAATTTCATACGTTAAAATTCCACGGCGGCACTCCCATAAAACATTATTCCCGCCAGGATGAAAAACAAGAGGGAAGTTTTCAATCTAAATATTTAATCTAATGAAAAGTATTTACCCACACATAACTTGTGTAATTAATTGATCTGGTAACACTTAATTAATTACCTACAAAATTTTCGAATTATGTGTGGCTAAATAACCACACTTACTATGTGTAGTTATTTTATGTGTAGGTAAATCACCTAATTTCTTGTAGTGACATTTTTAAAAGTGACATGAAATGTCATGAAGATGACATTTAAGACCTAAAAATCTGACAGTCGCTCCTCCTTCTTCACCTTTTAAAAATGTCACGTTTGTTCCGAAATTGTCATCAAATTATTTATATTACTCTTTGAAACTGTCAATTTTACTCTGAAAATGTAATTAACCTGTAGAGTAAAACTGTCATGTTGATAAATATTCTAATGCCACAACAATGACATTATTTTAAGGTTAGTGTTCAATAAAACACCTATTATGGCATTTTCAAATTCAAATCATGAGAAAAATAATACGAATGGTTTAAAGTAAGATAATCAAAATTAATAACAAAATGGAAATTCAAAAGAAGAAGAAAAGAGATGAAATGTGGAAGAAGAGAAAAACAGAGCATGAGAAGAAGAAGAAGAAGAAGCTCACCTGGGCATGTAGCAGGGTCGCCGTTCATCGCAGCCGATATTCATCGCAACCGTATTCATCGCAGAGTTTGCAGTTTGCGAACTCACTCTGAAAGACTTTGCAGGGCATTTTTGGCATTCCAACCTAGTTTTGGTCCTACGATAACACACGGAAAAGTAGTAGTCCTACTGTGGCACTTTTCCTAAGTTTTGGTCCCATTTTTGGAATTTACTCAACATATAAGTGTTTTAAGTGACCCCCATAAGTGTTTAATTTTTCTAAAAGCATGTGTCCGAATTTTAAAAAAAACATTCCCAATGCATATTTGTGTGGGTAATTAGTGTGTGGTGTATTTGTACACTTATATATGTGTAATAATACATATACACGCCTATGTTGTAAAAACCGGACCGGGAGGCGACCCGGGCAATCGGCTGGGTCACGGGTCAACCCGGACCCGGGAGGGTCAGCCCGGTCAACGCTGGCTCAACCCGATCAACATTTATTGAGAAATAAAATATATAATATATCTAATTATATATTAGATTAAAGTTGTATGATAAAAACTTTAAAAAAAAAGTTGTATGGTGAAAAATCACTCTCATTCAAAATTTACTATTGATTATAAGATTATATTTACGTACCAATATATTAACAAATTTCACAAAATGAAATGAAGAAAAGTGCACTTCTTGTATATACGTAGTATTTAAGTAGTACTCCGTATGTGTTTAGAATTATATGAAAAATAATCAAAATGTTGAGATATACTTCCTCCGTTCTTTTTTAGTTTTTTAGTTGCAACGGTCAACATCTCACACTTGCCAACGCACGTCTTTGACCGTAATCGTTTCTTAATCTCTATTAGTAAACGAAAATTAGAAATCATATTTTGAAAATTTGGAATGAGATGAATTGAACAATATATTTTCAAAATAATAATTTTCATAAAATAATTGTGTAAAATGTAGTCAAAGTAGAGCATGTGAATAATGTAAAATTCAACATGTTGCGATTAAAAAGAAACGTGAGATAGTAATATTTATGTAAACAATACGAGTATAATTGATAGATTTGCATAAATACGTATAGTTTAATCAAATAAGTGTCTGTCAAATTAAGGGAAAAAATAAGTGAAAGTGAAGCATTAAACAATGTACCTCATGCAGCTGGGTGCAGCGCAGCAACCTCTAGTGCCGCCATTTAGTCTCTATTATAATGTGTGGTAGTATATTCTGCAATGTGATTTCAGTTGTAATAGAACATTTTATCTGCAATGTAATTCCCAACTTTATATTCTGCTACAATTGTAAACCCAGTACATGTGTCTCACGTTAGCTTTTGTGCAATAATGTGCCAAGGTTAACCCTAAATTTACTTCGTGATATCAGTAATAAGAATGGGATACTTTAACTAAAAATGTTAAATTTACTTTAATTAAGTAATAATCCTTATAAATGAAAAATATTTCGGTCACAAAAATTTAAAAAAACCTACTTCTATGTCGACCTAAATTTATTTTGTTGTTTCATGACACTATTTAAAATTTATGCGACAAAGATATATTCAAACAGTTCAAATCCTGTAAAATATTTGCTATAACTTTTGTATTTATAAACAATTGATAAAAGTGATAGTAGTAGTAGTAATAAAACTAATAATAATTATTATTTCTATTATTATTATTATTAGGAAATTTCTATGGTACCTTCATAAATAAGCAGTGTACGGGTACCCAAAATATTTAGCCAATCACATTGTAATATTAGGCCACGTTAACAACCTAGGAATCAGTTTTATTATTTTCATTTTAGTCCCTAGTAAAGCAGTTAACAAGTAAAGAGATTGGTTCAACTCCTAAGAAACAGTCACTCAGATTCCTAGCCCTAGATCTTTCCACCTTTCTCTTCGTTGGTACTTATTTGTTAAAAAGAGATGAAAAGATGCATCAAAAGCCAAATAAGAAAGTTGATATTTTCACCGTTTCTGTCGCCGGCACCTTGTTCATAAACTGGAAGTCTCAATCTTAGATTTTATTGTTTGACAGATGTTTGATTGGTATGTTTTAGTAAAAATTCTGGACCCAGTAAATGATTAGTGATTTAGTAATATGATTTCCTTTTGTATCAACAACGTTTTTGGGTTTCGTCGGCCTGGCTTCTTGGGGATCTTACGGGAATGACGTGAGGACAGGGCAAACATTTGAGTGTTTCATTTGTTAACTCTTCTTTTATTAGGGACTAAAATGCAAATAATAAAAATTGGTCTACTAATATGACTAATATGCTAACGTGGCTTCATATTATAATCTGATTGGCTAAAAATGTTTATGTACCGGTACATTGTTTATTTTAGAAGGTACCATAGATGAACCCTTATTATTATTATTATTATAATGATAATTATAATAATCATAACAATAATGTAATTAAGATTTACAGACATTCATAAAAGTGTGCCTTCAAATAGCACATGTTAGAGACAATCATAAAAGTGTGCCACCAAATAGCATGTTTTAGAGACAATCATTAAAGTGTGCCTCTCAATAGCACTTTTTAGAGACAATAATAAAAGTGTGACTCTAAATAACACCTTTTAGAGACAATAATAAAAGTATGCCTCTAAATAACACCTTTTAGATGCAACATGTTCCACTTGATGCAAAAAAAAAAGGTTTTTAGAGGCAATAATATAATATGTAATTTGTCCCAATGAGTTGCTTCTATATATGAATTTTTTTGTAGTGTAAGTTCCTATCAAAAATTATGAGAGATGGCTTTCAATGAGAATGATAATGTGTCTAAAGAAGGTTCTGCTCCAGCGGCTGTGGCTAGAGTGGTTTTCGACAAACTCATTCGTGTTGTTTCTTTCTGCCAAACTATGGCTATGATTTGGCGACCAGTCAAGGGACGGAGTTTCAATTGATGAGATTGGGGATTCGAAATTCCTTTTACAATTCTATCACGAAGGCCAAGGAGACCTGAGCGGAGTTGTTGATGAAGGGTCTTGGTCGTTTGAGCAAAATCTTGTGGTCATCAAACGTGTGGGACGTACCGACAAGCCTCTTGAGGTTCCACTAGATCCTGTGGACTTTTGGGTTCTCTTGAGTGGCTGGAAAAACTGGATTGTGTTCTCTTAGTTTGTTGTCGTTTCAAAACTCCTTTGTGTTTTTTGCATTTCCTTCTTGTAGCAGGTGCAACATTGCTGTGAATAGAGTCTACCAAATTGTGAGGTTAGCGAGATGGATCGATCGTAAGCGTGATTCCAACTCTAAGTCTCACCCGGCCAGTGTGTAGCCTTTGTTATGGCGAACTTGTATCTGGTCCTCGGTTTTAATATTAATTAAGTTATTTTTTTCCAAAAAAAACCCATCAATTTTCCCTCCTCTTCAAAACCCAACTCCCAAACGCACCCTAAGTGTTTTTGTGCCCTTAACAATGATTGCCACTCTGATGAGTCTGATCTACTATAAATTATCACAAGACTCGATTTTGATAGATTTTATGGTTATCCAGGTATGTTAAGGTTTAAAAATTATTAATTGAAAGATAAAGAATAATAAGATTGGATTATTAATTGAAAGGTGGGATAACTCTTGGATTAGAAGTTTGTTAGGAAGTTTGGAGTAGTTGATATTATATTATTACATGATGCTTGTTTACTGTGTTGGGATGCAAAAAGTTGGATCACAAGGCTTTGGATCACTTAAGGTAGATTTTGGAAACACCAGACAAATGGTTGCTGTGTATTAACTTGCTCTGATTTTAAGCGAGATACATTGACCAAAGGTTGTATCATCAGTGAGCACATAAGAGTCAGATAAACGTGTAGTCTTTCCGAGAAGATTTCCGATAGCTTTGGCCAGAGTATGTGGGAGGGAGTATCACATAGGATTACATCCCTTGTGTAATCTAGACTCTCGATGACTCTAGATATGTATTAATATGTTACCCAAATATTCCTCTTTTATGTTATCACACAACTTACTAGGCAGTGATAGCGATCTGTTGATATATGTACACTGGTTTAGTGGCTTATGAAAGAAGTTCACCGTGGACTACTTTAAAGTGAGGTGTTCAAAATTATTTTAACATAAAAATTTTACACAATAATATTTGAACTACAATTGAAAAAGTATTTTTTTGAACTACAAAAAACTAGCAAACAGGGTTCAGAATAAGAAATGTTGTATAAAAATACAATATATAAATTATTACATCAATTTTATATGCATATTTGCACTTTGTTTTCAAGTTTTTGGATGTTCAGATGGACACCCTTGAACCAAAGCTATGGATCCGCCACTGCTTTAAAGTCTTAAAAACAAGAGAACTGGTCACACTAAATAGGACATATTTAATGTATTCAGACTTATTTACCCTAGTTGTCGGTGTATTCGTTTAATAAGGCGCAGGATTTGTGTACACAGGCATATGTACATTTTGTGTAGACCAAGAGTGACCTCTATCTGTTTCAAGCTAATATCTATTCCTCCGGTCACCATATCCCCCCTGTCTTCTCGAGAGCCCTTTTGGGAACTTCAGTTGCTAGCAAACAAAACACATCATGAACCCACCTCATCATCGGGAACTAAGGCGTACCTAGCGGCGTTGCAAAGGTGAGACTAAAGTAAATACCCGACGATGACACACCAAAATAGACACTGCAGCGCCGCAGCTGAGGCCAAAGGCCCTTGGGAATCTTCTTCTTCTTTGGGGAACTTCAACTGATCCTTTTGTGGATCTGCGATCGATCGGGCTGGTAATAGTAATTTTCCAAATTCTTTGGCTATGCGACCTGGCTTTAATTTCACTGCATGACCCTTCTTTTAGTCTTTCTCTTTTTGGCTATGGTGATCTAGTAGCCCATGGTGATCTAATAGCCCATGGTCATCTGAAAAAGTGTGACTAGCATCTGAAAGATAAACGTTGTGATTTGCCTAAGCGGCAAAAAATACAGTCATGAGAGAAACTAGAGTTACTGCAAACATGCTACTGACTATGTAAGATAGAATTGCCACAGTGGCCGAATCTAGGTGCCAAGTAAGACCAGATGAAGTGAGGCAAGACAAATTAAAGCTAGTTGTGACGGTGAATTCAGACAGACTAGATAAAGGTGGTCATGACTAGGTGTTTGAAGGACAACCCTTGAATGTTTTTCCTTGACAAAAAAAATATATTTGTTATCAATTGTTATCAGCACACATTTTTTGTATGGATAATAAATTAAATTTAATGTGAGTCACATTTAAAACATGGATAAATAACGTAAGAGGACGACTAAAAGAATTTAAATGAACATCTCCAATATCAACAACGAGAAGTTTAGAGCCATTAGCATCATCAATAACAAAAAGTGGTCCAGTATAAAGTTAATTTATTAACTAAAATACCTTCTGTTGAAGTCATGTGAGCAGAAGCCCAAGAGAACAGAAGCCCAAAAGCCAGGGTACCATAAGAGAACAGAAGAGCTGGCGCAGAGGGTTGACTAAAACGATAGGGACACTAAAGAGTAGAGTGACCCGCAGAGAAACAAATTTGACAAACTATAGGAGGCGGGACGGATCCAAGAATGCCCACCGCCGGCCACTAGCAGCATCAAGTGAAACAATTTCATAAAAAAGTTTGAGATTTTTTCACTCTAAAGATGTATGCATTGGTTACTTGAGAGTAATTTCTATGTGATTTTATTGAAGGACAAATGTTCACTCCTGAACTATTTCTAACCATTTTCTTGTTTTTTCGAATATTTGTTACATAAAAAAACAGTGGTAGGATTCGAGTTCTGCAATGTGAGCTTAATAAAACAAGTGAATGTATGATGATTTGGGCTTGAGAAGGAAGATTTTAGGGAAGTGTGTTTTGGGTTGATATTTTTTCATTAAATAAAAGTTTATTCCAAAATTGGAATCTCTGCATTCTTTTTCAGTTTGCCTGCTATGTTTTTGGTCCAAGTAATTTTGATTATTTGCAATCCCTTTGCTTATTTATAATCTTCTTGTGACAATTTAAAAGGTATCTCGTTTATATATCTACCATCAACTGTTATGTCCTGGCGATTTTTACAGTTATGCTTAACTGTGGCTAATCAATGCAGGAAAACTGTGGCATTCTTAAGGCGCCTTTGTAACAAACGAAACAAACAATAATAATACGTTAATACCTCACTCATATATACATAGTACTAGTATATGAAAAGAAACCATACTAGATTCACTCACAATCTAGGGGTTGAATATAATAATTTTAACAAGTAGCATAAATGATTACAGAAACAATTAAACGGGGTAAAATGAGAAAAAGAAGCCAAAAGAAGAGATGGAATTAGGTAACATAACCTATACTATGCTTATAAAAATATATTGCACGGAAACTCGAGAACAGAGTACGTTTCTCCTTCGTAAAATCTACGAAAACTCTTTGAAAACTTTCCAAATAAGCATTTTTCGATCAAAAGTGGACTTTTGGGTCAAATGCATAAATGGTACCTTAACTATTGGTAATGTTATACTCCCTCCGTCCCTTAAAGGTTTGACATGTTTGACCGGCACGTAGAATAATAAAGTAAAAACTGTGTGGTAGAAATTTGTGCAGAAGAGAGAGAAATAAGAGGAGCCACAAATTGATTAATTAAAAGGAAAAGTGGCAAAGTTTTTGGGACAACCAAAAAAGGAAAGTTGGCAAAGTTATAAGGGACGGAGGGAGTATTTCGGTAGCTTAACTCTTAAATGAATCAAAATGATACTTAACTATAAATAAATGATTCGAATCTAGATTTTATTCCTATTTATGGTTTCCGTGCAGGATAGATATAACAGCTATCTATCATTAATGCAGGCCGGCAAATAAATCCAACAGTAAAGAGGTGTGCACATTCTCTTCTGTGGATTGGGGAGTGATGAGCTGGATAAGATCGAAACAGTGCTGGGGACGATGCCTTTCCATAATCAAGCAACGGTGTAATACCTGTTCCTTTCGGCTCAGCGCCCAATACTTCTCGACGAAGTCTTTCATGACTTGGACGAACTCTGGGGTCAGCCTGTCGTTTTCTTCGTAAAAGGTCACCAAGTAACGAAAGTAGTCACCGCAGAATTTGAGATTATACCGAGATTCCTTGTCATCCTTCTCCTCCCAATGGTGCAGGCACTGCCCCACACAGGAATCCATCACCGCCTTCAACGCTTGGTAATCTTCCGCAGGAATCTCCGTTCTGTTATCTTTGCCGTACAAGAAGGGACCGCCGCCGAAGACTCCGGGTTTTGAAAAGTCTATAGCCCACGGCAGATCCGTACCCGTACCCGTTCCCAACCACGGAAAACGGAAGGAGGGAATCTCGTAGAGCAATTGAAGGCTTTCGGGAGTGTAGCGGCCGGCGATGTTACGGAGGTTATGGATGAGTGCGTTGCAGCTGTACATGGTGAGTCGCGGGACTAGGCGGGCTTCGTCGCCGTTGACGACATTGTGGGGCGGCGGCGAAAAGGGGTAGAGGAATATCTCCACGCAGCGGTCCAACATGGCCTTGAGGATCCGGTGGTCATCCTCCTCTAAACGGACCCTTTCAGCGGCGCCGGCAGTCGATGTTGAGGCTATTGCGAAGATGATGACGAGAGATATGACTGATCTGCTGCGGGTTAGGGTAGAGGCGGCCATAGCCCAGATCTATCTTACTCCTTTCTATTTCGTGTGCCCGCAGCAATTACAATGTACTTCGTAGATATAGCGAAATCATTAAAGGGTAGTTTGTCCACCACGTCATTCCAGCCAATAGTGTCACTTCCTACACGAGACAGAATTTGGAACTTAGAAGCCGTACACATCTATAGTTCCAATAAAGGTGGAATCTCCCATCCCAAGAGGGCTCATCCCGACCCGACAGGATGGTGGGGAGGTTAGTCACGGTGACTCAGTCAGCAGAATGGCAGTAGGCTCATACACTCGTGCGCACCAGAGGCCCAGCCTCTGGTGCGCATCTATAAATACTATTCGTTGATTATCAAAAATTGTTAAAAAAATATATGCGTACCTTAACAGGTAGCAAGGGAATGCAATACGGGTTAGGTCACGGGTTCGAATCCCGGTAACTGCGATGAGGGGTTACTATGCTAAAAATGCATAGGGTCTCTGCAAGTATCGGGGACAGAGTCCCACTTTCTATCTGTCAGATTGGGATTATAGTTCAATTTACATCCTCCCAACGTATCGTCCGATCGGGGTTGAAGGACCCTCAGGGATGGGGTGTCATCCTTTTTAAAAAAATTATATACACCCTTCTAAAAGGTATACTACTCCCTCCGTCCCGGATTATCTTCATTCTTTCCTTTTCAGTCCGTCCCAAATTTATCTCCGTTTTTCCTTTTTGGTAAAGAATACTCCCTCCGTCCATAAAAGGATTGCCAAATTTGACCGGCACGTAGAATAATAAAGTAAAAACTGTGTGGTAGAGATTTGTGCAGAGGAGAGAGAAATAACAGAGACCACAAATTGATTGATTAAAAGGGAAAGTGACAAAGTTTTTGGGATAACCAAAAAAGGAAAGTTAGCAAAGTTATAAGGGACGGAGGGAGTATGTGATTCACAACCATTCTTACACATTTCTCTCTCCTCTGCATAACTCTCCACCATACAAATCTCACTATCTTAAAACCCGTGCTCGGTCAAAACCGGAGTTAAATATGGGACAGAGGGAGTACTATTTTTCCCGCGCATGATTTGAACCGTGTATTTAGTTATAAAACTGCTGAACTATATGTAATTACCCCGGTATATGCAATACTACGTATAATTTAGAACATTAATTTAATTGAATGAACTATGGAGTTTTTTCTCAGAATAATGCTAATTAAATAAATAATTCCCAAAATATTGTTGAGTTAAAACTAATTCATAAAATACTATTGGGTTAACCATGGTTAAAGTATTTTTTCTTACCGTAGAAAGTCGTCTCTTCAAGTGGTGGCTTTTTAATAATAAAGGAAAACAATTACGCAACCCTCGTATGCCGATTGCCAAAGTCTAATGATATATGGTAATGGGTCCCACCTCAAAATAAAAAACTCTTGTTTTCTTTGAAGTGTTGTAACTTTTTTATTTGTACTCTAATTGTGAAAAAAATTATATCAAAATTCGTAATTTTTTATTATCTTTCAAATGACACCAATATTGAATATATAAAATATAAAATAATTTAACACTTTAAAAATTACTACGTATCTGTTTTTCAAGTGTTATATATTTTTATTTGTATTTCGATCATTACAAAAAATATATCAAAATTTATTATTTTTTATTATCTTTTATAGGAAAGCAATGTTTCATATAGAAAAATAAAAAGAAAATCTATTAATTTGTGTAGTTTAGGATCATTTTTTACCATGCACACAATTAATCAAGAGGGATAGACTAAAACAAAATTTAACAAACTACATCACATCTATTTATTTATTTTTCAAACGAGAATTTATGTTGTTTTATTTCAATTGTGTGGAAACATTTATCAGATTTTATTAGAAAAGGGAGAATTACAAATATAGGGAGACTATATCTTTGAAATAAAACAACATAAATTCTCATGCAAAAAATAAATAAATAAATGTGATGAAGTTTGTGTGACTTTGTTTTAATCTATCACTCTTGATTAATTGTGTGCACGGTAAAAAACGATCCTAAACCACACATATTAATAGGTTTTCTTTTTATTTTTCTATATGGAACATTGATTTCCTGCAAAACATAATAAAAAATTATAAATTTTGATATTTTTTGTAATGATCGGAATACAAATAAAAAATATATAACACTTCAAAAACAGATACATGGTAATTTTTAAAGTGTTAAATTATTTTTTGATTTTATATAATTAATATTGGTGTCATATGAAAGATAATAAAAAGTTATGAATTTTGATATATTTTTTGTAACAATTAGAGTACAAATGAAAACAGGATATTTTTAATTTGGGTGGGACCCATTACCGTATATCATTCGACTTTGGCAATTTACATACGAGTGTTGCGTAATTGCCTTGCGTTTTTATTGAATAGCCGCCGCTTCAAGTGACAACTTTTGTACGGTAAAAGAAAATGATGGATTGTCTACCCGAGGGTATGTATACGAAGGGTTACTGCGGGGAGTGACTAGAGAGAAGTCAGAGCAAAAGTAAGAGAGAGAGAGAGTATATTGCTGAGAATGTAGCGAGCGAATTTAGCTTGGATTACAAATGGGGAAAATGGGCGCTATTTATAGTAGTAATAAATGTCAGATAGGGACACGTGTCAAGCATCCAATGGCCGAGGAGTCACATCAACTGGTTGGCACTGGCAGTCGAATGTGGCCGCATTTAATGCGGCTATTGGATGTGACGTCGTACTTGTTACGGTGATTCAGGCGCATGTGGAGAGAATATTCTGTCGAGAAAGGTGCCCTCGGCTGCAGATGATTAGCCGAGGGCTCTAAGTACCAGGGACCTCCTTAGTGCCGAGGGCACTAGGTGCCGAGGGCTACTGCTTTTCGCCGTTTTCTCCCAGTAACTTTATTTGCTTGAGTTGGCCATCCTGTGAGAATTTGGAGCCTTCGGCCAGGGGGGCGAAGGCACCCCCAGTGTGCCACGTGGGTTGCTCAGTACTTGGGGCACTGTGATTCGGGCCTGTTGTGCTTCCTGGGCCTATTGGGTCTCCATTAGAATAGTAGGAGTCTATGGGCCGGGGGTTCCTGGGCCATATACTCCATCATAAAATACTTTTAACCGCGGTTAACCCAACAGTATTTTTGGAATTATTTTTAACCCAACAGTATTTTGGGATTTATTTATTAATTTAGCATTATTCTGGGAAAAAACTCTGAGCTATGTGATGAGTTGTTGGACACCTCTCCTGTATACATTTAATATTTGCCTTATCTGATGTTAAAAAAATCATGTACTAAATGTAACAAATTCATTTAATAAAAAACTTGAGTAACTTCTAAAAAGAGGTCATATGAACATGGCCTTACTAGGAATTTTCTGTTATCTGATACTCGCTCCGTCCTATTAGAAGGTTCCAATTACGATTTACGATGTTTTACTGATGATAAATCAATTTAACCTCTTGTTCACACTCTGATTATTTTTTGTAAATAAAATTTACATATTTTGAAACTACATAAAAATTTGTCCATGAATTATTTGTGATTTTGCATTAAAAAAACCATGTCCTAAATGTAACAATTTGATTTAATAAAAAACTTGAGTAACTTCTAAAAAGAGGAGGTCCATATGAACATGGCCTTTCTAGATTTGTGCTAGGTGTGATTCACTGATTCTTCAGCCACATTATTTAATAAAAAACTTGAGTATCTCACTCCTTTCTATTTCGTGTGCCCGCAGTAATTAATTACAATATAGGGAGAATTTACCCCCCACCATTCTATCGGATCAGGGTGGGGGTCTTGGGGTTGGACATTCAACCTTTTGGACCAAATATAGGGAGAATTTGTCCACCACGTCAATCCAGCCAAGGAAAATGCTTAGTGTACATGAGTTGTACACAAACTGTACACAAAACCTCCATAGTTGCCTATGTACACATGCAATTCATTTAGAAAAGTGCAGAATTTGATACCCAATTGCCTGTGTACACAGGCAATGTACACATTTTGTGTACATCTTGTGTACACCAAGCATGACTCATCCAACCAATATATATAGCAAAATAATTAAAGGGAGTAAATGATGGAACATGGTAACTTTGTTGGAGGTGTTTCCAAAAAGTGTAGGTTTGACCAAATTGTTAATTGAAAAAGTGAAACATATTTGAGGAATATGTTGAGTATTTCCGAAAAGAAAAAAATACGCATGTGAACATATTTGGTGAATCTGTCAGAAAAGAAATCTGACAAATTCACCAAATATGTTCACCGAAAAGAAATCTGACAGATGCTTTGATTACTCATTTGCACTTTGCTAATTGCTAGTTTTACCGAAACGAAAATATACGCACGTACCGGACTGAACCGAACCGAATTATAGTTTTATTCATTTATATAATTTTATAATTATATATACATGTATACTATATTACCATTACTTTGATTACTCATTTGCACTTTGTTAATTGCTAGTTAACCCGATCGGTAAAAATGAATAGTATTATATGAAATTCATTAACTATGTTATTGCTAGCTAATTATGTTTTGTGCTATTATAGTTTATAAGAAATTCATTAATTATATAATACAGTGATGATAACCCAAATGAGAACGAGGACGAGGACGAGGACGAGGAGGAGTTCGTTGAACCCACATATCGTGACGAACGACCCATATATGTGGGTAGAGTATATGATACATTCCAAGAGCTGAAGGAAGATGTGTCCCTTCAAAACCTCAAAGAATTTCGAACATTTAGTATGGCATTTATTAATCCGGGCACCATCGTCGACCTACGAACAAATCCAACTGTTACACAAGGTACGCATGAATTTAAGTACGCATTTTGGTCAATCAAAGCCGCGATTGATGGTTTCAATCACTGTCTTCTGGTCATTTCCATTGATGGTACACATTTGTACGGTAAGTACAAAGGCACTTTGTTGGTTGCGGTGGCGATGAATGCTAACCGTGGAATCTTTCCCCTAGCTTCTGGGGTGGTTGATAGTGAAAATGGGGACAGTTGGATGTGGTTTTTACAGTTCGTTGCGACAAATA